GGGCGTTGTCTCGATTTGAAGACAAATCCATAGCAAGCCGCGTAGTTCAACCAGGTGGATTCACTGTTGTGCATGCCTGCAAAGGGCCCAAGGATACATAATTAATAAAAGGCTCTTGTGACGTCACTTCCCAGCTCCGTGCCGTTACACTGAGAGCATCTGATAACTTCAACCTAGTACATTTTCGCAGCTAACTATACATAGAAATTCTTTCCAACTAGTGAGGTAATGAGACAGTGTGCGCACCCCATGACTCAGTGATGGGTGCTGACTGTATCATGTAATGATACTTGGAAATACTTAACGAGAATGATTGTATTCAAAATCTAATTGTATGATGTCGGCTGCCTTATTTTCAATATTTTTATATTCTTATTGGTTACAGGGTTGTCACCAGTTGAATGTAACTGTTTGAAATACATGCTTAAACACGGCATAGTTTTTAATATTTGTAGGGCCTATATGAAAATAAATCTACTGCTATCCGACTTGCTGCTTTTCAGTCTTCTTATTCTACATCACTGTTTCCTTGATGTATACCTACCTCATCTCATAGTGCTGAATACGTTGTGAGATTTTCACCACTTTGTTAAAAAGGCAAACGCCTTTAATCAAACCGTGGCACTCCATGGGTCGCTGTCGTGGAGAGGTGGGGCTTTTACTTTTGCTTTTCCTTTAATTATTTCTAAAGCGTTGGCAGCAATACGCTTCCGTATGTTTCCGTATAAGGGGGCTTTGAAACCTGGAAAATAAAATTCTCACAAATCACTGCAACTGATTTCACCTGGACGAACGAGGTCGCTGTTCGCCTTCATGTTTTTTTTTCACAGCATATCATGCACAGTTCCAGCATGGCTTGGCTGGGGGAGGTCTTCTGGTTAGCCAAATGTAGCGGCTGGCTCGACAGGTGTAACTGATTCCCGCGCAACCCCAGGGCCTCGCACCCTCCGAACCGGCATACATGCATTGCTTTCCTTCATATGCACCACGTACTTGACAAATTTTGTGGTCTGAAGACAACTTTTAAAGAAACATTGGAATTATGAGTCCTGAATTTCGAGAACACCATGATAAGCCTACGCCTCCATGATGTCCATGTCATGCTCGATGTCAATAGACGTGCTAGATCATGTGCAGTTGGCAGTGAGCAACAACGACACCTGTTCCGCTGGCATAAATTGAACGACCTTGTTCACTCGACAGGAGCTATATATGCAATCACTATGGAATTCCATATCTGCCGTCGCCCGTCGTGCGTCGTCCGTCGTGCGTCGCCCATCGTGCGTTGCCCGTCGTGCGTCGTCCGTCGCCCATCGTGCGTCGCCCGTCGTGCGTCGCCCGTCATGCGTCGTCCGTCGCCCGTGTTTTTTTTGTCACGATTGTGCAATGGTATTTTTATTTTTGACCCTTGATCGTTTCACATGTACATGTCCTTGTTTGATCGATCCACCATGCCTGACTCTAATTTTAGCAATAGAACTGGAAGATGCACATATACTTTTCGTTTTTGCAGTTGCGCCGAACTCCACTTTAAAAAAGAAATAATATCCTGACATCGGTTAAGTAACGTGTATATGAAATAATACCATTTTTTGTTACATAAATAAATTCATAAAATAGACTTTTGTTATGGTAGATTGTTTTTCTCGCTAACTTAGTTACTCTAGACGTAACTTTACTCATTAACGGCCTGACTTTAGGTCTATAGTCTATGTAATATTTCTGTCTGTCCCTGAACGATATCCCACTGAACGGAATGTAAATAATAAATTATTTACAATGTTTGATTCCTTAATAGTTTTCATAAGAGACGCACTGATTCAACATTATTTTGAGGGCGGGTATACCTATGATGGAATCCGCTGTATATTCCAAATTAGTTGCAGATAGGCTCACAGAAGTCTTTTAAACAGTAACGTTACTTGTTAGCCCCATAAATAATGTTGATATGCTGGACAACCTGTTCTCATTGGTCTATCCACCATGGCATACACACTCACAAAAACCAACACGTCACATATTCTGAAACTTACGCCAAGTGGTAATTGCCCCCTGACAATACATTTAATTAACAAATTTGTTATCCACAGCACTGTCTAGTATTTCTGTATTTCAAGGTGAAATTGAGAGGACAAAATGGAATATCTGTATCGCTTGGCAGATTTCTTTCTAGAATTTGATGAAAACAAGTCGGCACGTTTTTACAGTATGCAAATTAGAATTAGACTGTGGATAAGTTGGCCTGAACATTTTCGCTTAAAATGTGTTTCCCCAAAAAACACTTGGTTGAATTCTCAGAAAGACGACATTTTCTTGTCAAGGGGCAGGGCTAGTCTAGCATTATTGGCATTAGTTATGGGACTAGTACTGCTGGTGGGATTTGTACTTGCCTCATTGGGAAAAGATCCTTAGAAGTGAATGGAATCATCACATTGTCATTTGTTAAACCCCAGCTTTTGCAGGTCCTATGCAACCCATTTGATGGGCGACGGGCGACGCACGGCGCCGGGGCGACGGCAGATATGGAATTCCATAGAAAAGTCAGGGGTGGAAATCTGCAGCAAAAAGCGCTACTTTTGCACAAATTCACAGGGAAATTCTAAACTCATTAATGCGCATGCGCGGGTTTTGTAGCAGGTACTGTGTAACAATGCTACAAACTGCCAGCCCTAATTTCTGTCGTCCTATTTCGTGCATCTATACATGTGAAGGGCCGATTATCTTGTACTTTCTTGGCGCACCTCATGGATCTATGTACATGCAATTTTTAAGGAAACCTCTTCTGAATGATGATAGGAAACTCAAAACTTAAATCCACAAGTCCGCCGTGTACCAGTTTTGCAAAAAGGGCCACCAAAAAAATTTTTCACGTTTTGGTGTAGGAAAGCGCGACATGAAAAATTACGTCATCGTTTTTACACGGCGAATCAAATGAGACTTTTATGGCAACGCGCGGTACGTCTTAATTGTTCGACCAATAGCAGAAGCCTTACGTAAGTTGTTTTAGGTACCAGCAAGGATGGCCGACATCTTGAGCTCTTCGGATGACGATTCGGGTGAAAAACAGGGCATTATGCACGTTTCAGAGTCCAAATTGAGGGTTTTGCCTTTCTCCAAGAACGGCTGGATGAAGTTCTTCGAGCGTGCCGGCAGGTGGAAAAATGGGCAGGAATCGACAGAGGCTAAAATCGTTGAAAAAGCAGAG